TAAAATAGTGCTGTGACTGCGTTTCAATTGGAAGTATATGTACATGGAGAATTATAAACTAAAACATAAAGTAATGCTACTGAACCATCTGTAAAAAATAACTTTATGTCGGTGGATAGGTACTTTGTCACAAAGTTAAACAATTAACAGCTGAATTTTTCAGTCTTTCTTATATTTGGTTTTAGAGAGATTTCAGCATTAGAAATACGTGCGCGCCGCGCTGGTACAACCATTGACCCTGTTGGTCCAGCCGAGGACATGGATACCAGCGCAGGGGATCATGTCTGTAGATGAGGAACTAAGAAGTGCAAAGCTGTTTTTCAGTTGCATGGGAGGTCCCCGCCACCATAACTCAACTGCCCATTAAGTGGTCATTGCCGAATAGAAGTGTAGGCCTTGCATCTCTATCCACCGTCGTAAAATCTCTCTCCCGAGGTTTTTATTCAAAAATTAACCGTTACCAGCTTTATTTACACACTTACACCAACAACATAATAGGACTTAATCAATGCATACATTCCACAAAACCAAAGGCAACCTCGGCAATTTGTGGAGACCACCAAAACCGATCACATTAGCGCTTCTCCTATATATTGATAGGGGAAGAGACTGGACAAGGCGTACGTAGTCGTAGTACATGCTGAGGTCTATCACGGGACGTCGCTGTTCTCCTCGTTCTCGAGCAGCAAGGACCTGCAGTAGTCCTCGTGCCCATCCTGCCGGGCCTGGCGGCGGGGCCGGGCCGCAGAGCCCCGCGGCGGGTCCGAGGGCGCGGGCGAGGGCGGGTCCTCCTGCCCGCGAGAGGCCCACTCCTGCTGGGACGTCAGGCCGGCCAGGAACACGGCGGGCTGCGGCCCCACTGGGGAGAGGGGCGTGCACGGCGCGGACCGCGACGGCCTGCAGGTGATCCAGCCCCTGCGCGTCCTGCGCGGGGGCCGCGCCGCAGAGGGCGCGCCACCAGGGCCGGGGTCGCCGCCGGACAGGGAGTCGATCTGCTCGAGGAGCAGCCTCAGCTCGTCCGGCGCAGAAGGCGACAGCGCCCGGGGAGGCGACGACGGCGACATCTCCTCCAGCAGGGAGCTCACCTGAGGACAGCAAGGCCAATCTTTCAAATGGCTTGACTCGCTGGCGGGGCGGACCGCAGAAAACGGGAACTGTAAGCTCTCACCTCCGAGACGGTCCCCGAGCAGCCCTGGTGGCTGCTGTGGTTGCCGTGATGGGGCTGCGGCAGGGAGGCCGGCCGGGCGGGCCCGCGCACGGGCTGCACCGAGATGGAGACGGAGCCCGAGTTGGACCAGCCGCCCACCACCATGGAGTGGGCGTAGCTCTGCGTCTGGCTCCTGGACCCCGTCCTCGAGTTGGTCCTGGACCCGCTCCTGGACCCGCTCCTTGAGCTCAGCCTGCTGGAGGCCATGCTGCAGACGGACGGCATGGATGCCGAGTTGGGCAGCGGCTTGCGCGGCGGGGCGGCGACGGGGGGCGGCGGCAGCGTCGGGGGCGGCAGCGTCGGGTGCGGCAGCGTCAGGGGCGGCCCCGGCCCCGGGCCGAACGAGTAGGAAGGCAGGGGTGGCGGCGTGGGTGGGCCGGACACCGCGGCCGTCGTGGAGCCCCGGGAGCCCTCCGCGATGGACACGTACCGCGGCGGCGCGCCGCCGAGTGCCTGCAAGCAGAACGGAGGGACTTTACCTCTCGTCATCTCCTGTAATCGTCATCTCGAACTTAGCCAGAAGTTATACGAGCCACAGCCATCTACCCAGAAAGTACGTCTTTTATTAGCCTTAACGAAAATGCGTTCAGACAGTGCAGGCTCTCATAGCGCCTAATAGGTAGGCAACATCTTGCATGCAAAGCATGCGTGTACTGCAGGGTGGCCCACCCCAAGTCTTGCAGGCGCCCGACGTCGGCCTGGCTCCCCCGTAGTAGTTTGCAGAAACGAATCTGAGAAAAACCGGACGCACTTTCTGGACGATCCCGCCTTCAGAGCAGATCCCGCCTTAACGCGTGTTTTCCTGCAAGGCACCTCGGCCCGCTCGGCGGGCGGTGGCGACGGGGCGTACATTGGAACCTAGACTGGAGGGAGAGCGACACGGTGGCCCCAGCCTGCGCCGCTCATTCTTTGCCTCGCTGACAACTCCGCAGCGCGGCGATCCTCTTATAGGGCCTCACGGGGCCGCAGGATGGGGAGGGGGGCAACTTTTTGTAAGCTGCTCTGCTATTGGCGCCCCTGGGCCCTGTAAAGCTGCCTGGCGACGGGGCCGAGGGGCACCACGACCGCCTCTAACAGCCTCGGCACGGCAGGGCTCGGCCGGCCTGGCCCGGGAGCTTGACGACTGCGAGTTGAAATTCCTGCCCGAAGTAAAGAGGTCTGAAAACAGAGAATGGGGGCGAACGGAAGGAAGGGCCGGCACTTTCGTCGACTTCGCTGCTACCATTCCTGGCGCGCCTTGGCCGCGTACACGCCCGCGGGCCGAACGCGTCGCGCGCACCTCCCCTACTTTCCTTGGGCCAGAGTCCCTCCCAACATTTTCTCCTTTAAGATTTTTTTTCATTATTTCGCTAAAGCGCGCACGTGAAAGTTTTTACGCCCCGCGAAGAGAACATCCCGAGCGCGGCGCGGTGTGTAAATGCGCATCGAGTGACGCAAGCAGGGCGGCGTGTCGCCGGCGAGGCGTGGTCGTCAGGGATTCAGCACGCAGCGCAAATGAGGCTCGCTTGTCATCTGTAATTTTTTTTTTTCACCCTCGTCCCATGGATAAAAACGAGTTAGCCACAGCCGTGGTGGTCTGCGCTGCGGGCGCCAACTTAAAGCCATGGGCGGCCGCGGGGCGCGGACCGCTTACCTCCGGCGGTGCTGGACCACAGATGAAGGCGGAGCTGAGGGACTCGGCGGTGCTCGTGTGTGACAGGGACCCGCCTGGTGACAGAGATGGGCAAGATCGTCAGCGGGGGTCAGCGCCAACGGCATGGTGAGCGTCGTCATTGCGAGCAGTGCTTGGCTTACCTGCGGGTCGCAAGAAGTAGTGCCTCAGGTACTGCACCATCAGGTAGCTGCCCCCCTTGGCAGAGTTGTCGTTGTAGCTAATGACCAGCGGGTACAGGTCGGGTTTGGACGTCACCTGCAAAAACATCGCGTCGGTTATCTCGGCTCATCAAGGTAACAAGGTAAAGGTTGAAATGATCACCTCTACCGCCCAAACACTTGCTTTTGTTTTTATCGTATGCAAAGTTCTAAAGAATAATAATATGGAATTGGAGACACAATTCAAGTGAAAGATATGTGACATTATTCAGAAGGGTGGGGAATGTGTACAATTCTCTGTGACAAGAGGGACTTTGTGATGAAGCATTCAATTCACTTCTTCAATGGCAAGTGACAGATCGAGCACCTGCCGCCTCACCTCGCTGTACGGAGGCGGCTGTGAGAACGAGTTGCAGCGCGAGTACTGTGGCGGCGGGTAGCAGCTGGCCGTGGAGTCGCGGTCCGACTGCGCGTCCTGGTCCTCGGCCTGGCCGCAGCTCTGGCAGCCGAGCACGTCCAGCTCGTGGCGCCGGCGCCACAGCGAGCAGCCCCCGGAGCACGACAGCAGCAGCAGCGCCAGCAGACTCCTGGAGGCAGGCGTCGACAACTCATCACGGTCTACGGTCTTTGTCGTTTTTTTCAATTGCAATATTTCTTCCTTAGTCCTCCTCCGTTTGGCTGGGTTGGTCCAATATTGCGCGACTTTGAGGGGGGGGGGGATAAAAATATTATGGGGTCCCAAAAGGATCAGGAATATCATTGGGGTCCATAGAGACCCCTTTGATATTTGAACCCTGGCGTACGAATACTATGGGTTCCTGCGGGCTTCAAAGATGGTCCTGATTCTTTTGGGACCCCATAACATTTGTACCCAACCCCCTAAAAGTCATGTAGTATTGGGATGACTCCTAAGAGGGGGCGTCCTCACCAGAAGAACCAGTGGTTCCAGAACACGGCAGACAGCACGTTGGCCGGGCCGTGTCCAGAGGGCAGGTACGGGGTGTGCATCTGCACCCCCAGCTGGTAGCAGCAGCCCTGTGGACAGCAGTCCTTGGGCGGCGGGCAGCTGCGGGGAAAACAGAAACCGCTCAATCATCGACTAGTCTAGCAAAAAATAATTTAAATTGAATTGGTCGCTCTAAAAGTGATTATTTTTAATGGTTGTTTGGTTACATATCGAAAATTGTGCTGTTAGAAAAATAAAGAATGGGGTAGGCGCACGGCTGTACTACTCACTGGAATCCATTGTCGCACGACTTGGAAGTGACCTGGAAAGGAAGAGAAGACAGGGTTAGTTTGTGAGGTCCCGTGGAAGGGGGAGGTAACGAGAGACAATCTGCCGCCCGGTCAACTCCGACCCAACTGGCCGCAGTCCGCCTCAATTGGGGGAGCGCAGGGCCTCGGGGGGCTTACGCGCGGGTGGCCGCCACCGAGGCCGACGAAATACAGCTGCGACTCGCCTCGCCCCCGGCCGGGCCTCGCCCCGGCTGCAGAGACTAGACCGGCCTCGGCCGCCTGCTCCTGGACTACCCCATCCATCTCCCAACAGCTTGTCGGGGCGGGAGCAGCGGGACGGGCCTCGCAGGGCTGGAGAGGAGGGAACCGAAGGGAACTCAACACATCAATATTTACTTTGAGGGCCTCACCGCACGTTCAAAGGGCTCTGTCGCCACAGCGATTGGATGGAGGTGGGTGGGGAGCGGGGCGTAGGCGGGGCCCGCCTCGCCTCGCCTCGCCCTCAATAGTGGCACAGGGCAGGGGGTGTGCGCTTAGCAACTTGCATCCGCCTCGTGTAAACCACACAGCAGCCGAGGGCCGTGTCGCGCCGGAGGGCACATTGGCACCGCCCTGCCCCGCCCCGCCTATCAATCACCCTGGCCTGGACTGGCCCGGCGGCCAGCTTCTCCACCCGCAGTATAACTGTGCCCCCGTGCGGAACACCCCGTGGGCGGGGCGGGCTGCGGGCTGGAAGGGTCCTTATGTGGCTGTAGCCAGCCCACAGCCCCAGGGTGGCCCCGGACACCTCTCTAATCTGGTAAAGCTATTTGCACACCGGCCGGTGCGCCGTGTGTGGCGGGCTGCCAGCCCCCC